GACTGTCTTCAAGCGGTATGCAAGTGGCGGGTGCTCAGTGGAAGTACACCAACTACTGTCATGTCATGTGATTTATTTCTGAAGTTGCAAATTTTAACATTATTTTGTATTAGATTTTTAAGGCTGTGATATTTACGCAACAGTTGTCATGCTGTGTGTGTCATTTAAAGCTAAAATCTTTTAAAGCTCGGTAACATTTGATTAAATCGTTCCAGAATTTGTGTTCAATGGAAATGTAAGTATGCAAATTGTTTGTATTTTATGTATGTGCGTTTACGCCTTTTGATACAAAGTTAAGATTAAATTCTAAAAAATAAATAATACAAGTTCGCTACTGTTGTGCTTTATAATAAAAATAAATATTTGAGAGCGAAACCTATATTTCATCTAATCTATATCTTTAATTGGTGAATAGTTTACTTATGAAAACTGGTGCATATTAATGCTGTCAATAAATCGGACAATTATGTATCAAAAACTGTTTGAATTACTAAAATTTTCGAATAACAGATAGATTTTTTTTTTATTAATAATGTAATGTAATAATGTAATGTTAAATGCTACCATTTTGTTCTTACTTATGATTTCTGTTTACACAAAGTAGCTTAGGGTCATGTTAATCATGATGAAGGACCACAGAAGTTTTACTCTCTGTATAACATAGTTCAGTACGAAGAATAGAAGCGGGTGTGCCTCAAGGATCTCCCCTTGTTGTACAACATCTACACGTCTGACATCCCAATGCTAAGTCCTTCGGTATTATCATTATACGCAGATGACACATGCTTGTTATATTCTGATAAACTTGCCAGAAATGTGAATAACATACTGCAGGAGCACATTAATCTCATCCTGGGGTTCTTCCATAAATGGAAAATAAACATTAACAATGAGAAAACTAAAGCCCTGTTTATTATACGTAAGCACAGGCAACATCCATCGAGAGTAAGAGTTGGTGACATTGTGATTAATTGGGAGGATAGTATTAAATAGTTAGGTATCACGTTTGATAAGCAATTCACTTGGCATAAGTATATACAAGTCAAAAGAAGCAGTTGTGCTATAACACTGCAATGCTTACAACCACTTTTCAAACACAACAACCTTAGCGTGAAGAACAGAAAACTGATCTATAGCCAGATAATTAGACCAGCTTTACTTTATGGGTGTGTAGCGTATAGCAAAGCTGCCGACTCTACTATACAAAAGCTACAAGTCGCTCAAAGTCAGGCTCTCCGAAGACTCTTAAAAGTGAGTTGGTACATCAGCACAAATGACATGCTAAGAGACTTCAGAATAGACCCGATCAAAAAATACATAAGGGACAGAGCTCTAAAGTTATATGGGAAAATTGACAGGCTATCCTACTTATCACTATCTAATCTTGGAGCAATCAGTCTCCGCACGAGGAGGTACGCAGATCTTAGTCAATGAGATGGGTGGGACCCTGTAGTACCCTCAGCTATCAAAGAGTAAAAGTGCCCAGTTGCGCTAACTCGAAAAAAGGATCAACATACATACAAGTTAATAATTATTATAAAATTAATTTCATGATAGAAAATTAATTTTACAAACACGTTTAGTACTAAGTACCAAGTACTACTTGTGAGTAAGGCTTTATAATCTACTGAGTATCCGAATTGATCACAACACATAATAATTATCAAAATGACGCCAAACCATTTGATATGAATATTTCAAACACAATTGAACCAAAGATGGTGAAATGATCTTGCACTTAATTGTACAACTTAATGGTAAAAGTGGAAATAGATTTAATAATATTGCTAGTACTCATATAATATATATAGGGATTACGATCATGAAATCAAAAGTAAAGACACTGCTGATACCCAGTACCCAGATTACTGAGTACCCAGATTACTGAGTACCAAGATTGCTGAGTATCCACATTGCTGAATACCTGGCCTATCTAAAGCATATTGCCTTATGGTGACAGCAAAGGGTATAAATGTGGATTTTGAAAATTATTTGAATTCTCAAAAAATTAATTTTTAAACATGAAGACAAATCGAATAAAGTTAAGTGCGTCTGAAGTATCAATTCCTGGTACTTGCAGTCTCAAAAAATTATTTACGAATAATTAAATATAAGAATTATTTCCAAGACCACTTATGATGGGTATTTGGCAATACTCGATACATCACAGTAGTTCACTACTGTTCTAAAAAACCTCTTTTTGAAGTATCAAATAAAAATATTTTTTTTCTTATTTCAAACTAAATGGTGACTGAATATATCGCATGTTATTGACCTTCAAATATGTTATTTATATTAATACCTATTTCTAGTGTGATCAGCCAAAGAAAATTAAAAGCGGCTTAAAATTGTCTTAAATGTTGTAAAAGAAAATATTTTCAATTATTCAATATGATGATAAAGAGTCCCTCATTTTGTTTAAAAAATATTTACTTTTTTCAAAAGTTATGTTTAATTAACACGCAAAGTTCTTCTATTCCCAATTTTGAATATATAACAAAAATTATGCACTTTAAACAGCTACTAAACTACTAACGATATAAAACAAGTGTTTCGGACCCCAAATTTCATAGTTCTATCTGCTATTGTTTTCGAAATATTTAAAGAAATCACTAATCTTACCACATTTGTGTGTAAATTTGCTAAAAAAAAATTCTTTTTAAGGGAATCTTCAGTTAAATATTTCATTTCAGTTCTCTAGCGATTTGAAAATAATCGAATTTTGTTTGGATAATTTTAATTTTGCTACACAGTATAGCTGGTCATCATATCTATAATATATCAATATTATAGATATTTCAAAAAGACATAATATACTATATTGGGGGATTGGAAGATTTAGTTAATAAGCTCTAAAGAAAACCAATTATTTTAATTGAACAAAATAGTAGTTTGGCAAAATTGATACGCTCATCAGAAGGAGTTCTTTAAGTCGTGATTACACAATTAAAGTATATAACACTAAACTGGTATTATCATTATAAACAAAAAAAAATGTTATTAGTTTATTAAACGATGCAAAAAGTATTTTTCTCACACACATTTTCCAATTTAAATTAGAAAAATATTGTGGAACCGATATAATCGCAATAAAACTCATTTAATTTATGAGAGTGTTAACAGTCTGAATACCAAGTATACGTAAATCAGTGGAAAATAATTTTTCAGGTTTTGAGGGGGGTCAGATAATGTATTTCAGATTAAA